CCGGGCCGCGGCACCGAGGCGCTGCCAGCGGTACAGCCCCGAGAAAGCCATGGCTGGGGGCGGGTGCGCTCACCGCCGCGAGGTATACCGGGAAGCCGAGTCCCCCGGCGGGCGGCACCGCGGCAGCTCGGGCTGCACGGACTACGCGGCCCACAATGCACTGCACCGCTAGCGTGCGCCGGCTTCACCATGGCAACGGCACCCCTAGGTAGCCACCCCCGGAGGGGAGTCCCCTGCGTCCCTTAGTGATGACATAGCGGGCGCTGATTGGGCCAGGGTCGCGGCCAGCCTGCTGCGACGCAGACACGTGGGGCCCTGGGAGAAGCAGGTAAAGAGGGTCTGCGGCAAGTTCCCCCCGCGCGAGCCCAGAGCCAGTGTCTAATCCCGGGGGGGGGGGGCAGAAGGGGGCCGTGCCAGGCTCAGTGACCAATCCCAGTGGGGCGGGGCCAAAATCCAGGGCCGCGCCCCAATGAGGGGGGCAGGGTATGGGAGGGTGCCGTGCCAGATGCCCTGGTCCAGTCCTCCTGAGGGGCCCGCAGGCTGGTGCTGAGCAGTGCCCAGGGGGTGTGGGACGGGCCTGAGGAAGGAGAGCAAGAACCGCGCCACTTCCTCGGATGCAGCGCCCCGCTCTCCTGAGTCCCAGCAGTCGAAGGCCAGTGGGTGCTGGCCGGTGGGTGGCCCTGGAGTGCCCATTACTAACCTGTGACCCTGTTTTCTCACAGGCTGTCCCATGAACTCAGTGGCTGTGTCACCTAATTCAGCTTCCCTAATTAAGGAAGGCTGAATGCTTCCCTAGTCAGCCTTGTCGCTGCTAAAATGGGGCGGCACTTAGGCTGGAGTCCCTCCAGACTTGGGCTGTGCACATGCATTCAGGTAACCTTGGAGAATTTGCCCAGGTTTGTTCTCCTTGTAGAGAAATTTACCCAGAGCTGTGAATACAGACGCTCACCTACTGAGGCCCTGAAGAGCGGAGGGCTTGCCGTGCTGTCATGGTGCAGCCAGAGGGACCCCTGTGCATGCGTCTCCATATGTTCTGCAGGCTCCCTTAGTTTGCCTGGCAGCAGATGACAGCAATGCGTGGGGCAGACTTGCTTGGCTAACAGATGGCCCATGGTCAGCCTGCGTTGTCAGCAGGCACAAACAGTTGATCCCTCAGGAGACACTCTTCTGGAAGTGGTTTAACCCTGATTGTGTACAGTTTATTTTTTTTCCCTGAAGCAGCCATTTTTACTCTGAGAGAAAAAGCCTGAACATCTGTACATTTGTGGTTTCTCCTGGGAGAAGAGCAACTCTCCCAGGTGAAACTGAATGTCTGTACAAGGTCTAGGATACCTCTGTTGAGAATGACTTCTTATTTGGCAGCTGCATTGCACAGGGAAATTGCTATTAGCCCTAAAAATAAGGGGTTTCATTTTCCATTTCCCTCCATTTCCTAGCTTTTACAGAAACAAATAGAAACCGAGCTTTTTTGGAGGAGAAAGCCTCCCTCACCGATCTCTCTGCTTAAAGAACCTAAACGCAGTTGGCCAGGAGAGTTTAGCAGGATGAAGTTAAATCTTTCCAAGGTGGTCAACAGATGCCGTCTTGGGAAACTGACTAATCTCGGCAAGAAAGGGGCTCAAGTTCTGGAGTTTCCAGGCTGCCTGCTGTATACCAAGACAGGATCCCCACCACATCTCACGCATGACACGCTGCAGGTGATCAAAGGGGTTCCCACTGTTGCACAGATCACACTTTCAACCCTGTAAGTACAAAGCCCAGATGGACACCTGCTTTTGTGCAGTTAGCTTCCCAACTGGGAACAACACTTCATTTGGACAGGGGTGGCCAACCTGTGGCACAAGCAGCACATGCAATCTCTGCATGTGGTAGGTGAGGGAACGAACAGTAAGAGCAGGAGATCAGGTCAGGAGCTGAAAGTGAAACAGGAGACCAGGCAGAGGAAGGGGATTGGAATGGCACTCAGGGAGGGTACATGGCTAATTTGTGGCATGCCTGTCAAATAGGTTGCCCCACCCTCACCCTCTCCCAGTTACAGGTTTATCTTATTAAAATGTGTGAAGCGAGAAGCATCTCATCTGGCTCAGCCCAGTAGCACCTCTAGCCCAGCATCTTGTTCTCCCCAGTAATGGTGAGAGTCAGATGTTCAGGTTAAGGTGCAGGAAACCCTAGAATGAATGATTATACAGCCCTAAGCAGTTCTCAGGAAGAGGGAACCTGCTGCTTTGGAACTATGAAGGAATTGGCCTATAAAGCACCAGCACCTAGCTATGGCAATACTCTTTGTAAAATACAAAATTTGAAAATGCAAACAGAAAGCTTGCAGGATAGCTGCCAGTGGGATTTCTCACTGAGGACTTGTCTGCATTATGGGGCTTTTGCTGCTGTAGCTGTGCCAACAGAACTATGTTTGCAGAGTCCCCTAGTGGAGACAAGGCATATTGCAGTAAAAGCTACAACAGTAATATTTTTGCTGTGCTGAAATATTTCAGGAGAGCCACACAATAGGTGGGCAAGTGGGGTCAAGAGATCTGGGTGTGGCTTAGGGTTGGAGGGTGCCAGAATGGAGCTATGGCATGCCTCCCCTCCTGCCCTCCAAGCTCACACCCTGCACCTCACCTACAGCAGCTCTGACAGTGGGAGGGCAGAGCATCAGCAAGAGACAGCAGTCAGTGTTTAAATGGCTGCTTGACACCCATTAGCAGCAAGGGTGACACTGTGAGCTTCCTTGCTGGTTTTCTGGTTCTGACTGGCTCCAATTCCAGTTTCCAATCCTGGTAAGACCCTTGATATTCCATGATTGCAGTTCTCAGCTCTTGATCCTGATCAAACTTAGACTTTGGCTTTTAGCTCCTGATTCTGGTTTACCCTTGGCTTGCCCTGTCTTTGGCTTCTAATCCTGGCCTGCTTTGACTTTAGCTACAGCCTCTGAATCCAGTTCTGACACCAGACTCCTCCATACCCCCAGCTTCCTGGGGAAACAGTTGGGACCACACTAGTGTTTTACGTGTTTAACCACTAGGCAAAACTGTCCACCTCCTGGTTTTCTAATATATAATATAATATAATAACACTTTGATTTGTACAGAATCCTCTTGTAACTGCTCTGGTCAGGATGCAAAACGGATCTTTCTCATTCTGATCCACAGACTCCATTTCAGTCCCAGCTGGAGATCCTTGATGCCTGTTTAACAGTAATAGTAGCTGATCGTTTTAGGTCTGAGGTCCCAGGTTCTGCACAGTATGCCCACTACAGTGTCAGCCATCACATTCCCCTTGAGGGTTTAGATCAGGGAGTGCCACCAATTAGCCGCACACCCATCCCAAGTGCTCCTTTCCCTCCAGTCACCTCCTTGTACCTGATACGTTGCTTTGCTTTCTGCTCTCTGCTCTGTGCTCCCAGCTTGATCTGCTTTTCTGCTGCTCCTTGCTCAGTGAACCCCATCCTTTCTGCTGCTATGCTTTCTGCTCTCTGCCTCATCTGCTGCTGCTGTGATGCCTGTCCCTTCCCCAGTCTGCTGTGTGCCACTTCACTTGTAGCATGCATGTCACAGTTTGGTCACCTTTGGTTTAGATCCTTGGGGTTGAATAGGTTCTACATGAATTATGTATGCATGAGATCTCAAAGCAACTGCTGTGTTTTTTCAGTTACAGGTCAAACTTTTTTTTTTAACTCTCCAAAAGAACCATAAAAATCACTTGACTTATGTGAGTGTAACAATAGTTATGACTCTGACAATCTTGACTTTTGTTACCTGCAATATTTTTATACATGGAACAAAAATACTAAGAACTATTATTTTTAACATCTTATCTTGTATATAGCCTGCACCCTTCTAACTAAAACTGGCTGGTGAAACTTAGTATGCAGTATATGCGAGAGAGCCAGAAATTTGGTAGTGTTGGCAGAGTTAATTGCCATGGCTAAGGGAGCCATGGCAGTTGATGTTGTCATCACTCCTCTGTTGCCAATTTTCCAGACCTATGGAGATCACCCTGGCCAGATGGCCTCATGTACCAGCGTGGGGCAGTGCACAGGATCATTCTGTGTCTGGGAAGTCATGAGGCCCTGGACCCAGAATGTGGGGTCAGAACCGGCACATGGCCCCAAACTCTGTGCTGGGTCACAGCCAACATATGTATATTGACTGTGTGTGCTAGGTATTGGCTCAGTTTGCTGGATCCATCTGCGGGCCCGATCTGGCACATAGACCTTGGGAGCAGCCAGAGACAACGGTAGGGGAGTGTGGAGCCCAGGGCAAATCAGCCTGTGCAAGGCCCCTTTAACACTGCGAGGGGCGGGACCGCAGCCACTCTGCCCGGCTCTGCGGGGCCCCCCAAAGCGTAGGGCCTGGGGTGGTTGCCCCAATTTGCCTCTCACAAAGGACAGCCCTGGGAGTAGGTTAGTCTCCCTAGCTGCTGCAACTTGGTTTCTCCTAGGAAAATTTTATCTTCTTCACTCTGCCTCTTAAAATCAATGTGCGTATTATGTATGTGGGTGTGTTGTATGCAAAAATTCAGTATTTTAGCATGTTCAGTGCATTTAACCCTTTGGGCCTTTTTCTTAATTGTTCTATCTTCCCTTTGATTTTTTAAGGGCAAGAGCAGCTTAAGGTCTCATTCTATAGTTATCAACTTATATTCAGGGAAGAAGTAGTTTCTCCTAAAATCAAGCCTGAAAATGTGGGGTCCTAGCAGCTTGCTAAGGTTGCTCCTACTTTGGCAAAAACAGGCTCTATAGCTCCTTACCTGCGCAGGTCTTCTACCATGATGTGTGGTAAGTGATGTTGTATGGATTGGCATTGCCACATAGTCTAATCCAGATTTAGATGTTGTGTTGACAAGATGTAGGTTTCTTTACACAGCAGCTCTATCTTGCAGGCCCTGGGGCAGTATGATCTCGTGATAATGGCGTGGTGCCTATGTCATTCCTCCATCTCAGTCTGTTCTGTTCCTGAAAGCTTCTGCTCATCTGGTAAAAACTAAAGTCCTTTCACCAGGATGCTGAGTAATTAACTTGTCCATGCTTCTTTCTGCAGACTTCTTGTCATTGAAGCTGTTGTTTACATATCTAATACTTGTGTCCTTTTATCTTTGGATACAGTGTGGAACTTCATGAGGTCTTGGAGGAGTACAAGGAAGGAATTGGGAAATTTATAGGTAAAAGTGTGTGTGTGTGTGTGTGTGTGGTCTGAGCCCTTAAAACGTATTCTTATGCTTCTGTACATACTGAGGCAGAGGGCTAGGGTACAAGCCTTTCACCGCTTATAGCTTGTGTATCAGTCTTTTTAATGCCATGTAAGCCACATGGGCAGCTTATTTATTATTAAATGTGGACATAGGGTAGATGCAAAGTATTAGACACACCACAGAGCCTGTAGTTCTTTTCATCATGAAAGAGACAGTGCAACAGTTATACTGTAATTTCCCCCAACACTGTCAAGAATGGGCTTCCATACTGACTTGGAGGGGCCCTCTTCTGGATCAAGAAAGGGAGCTGTCCATGGTCTCTTTTTTTTTTTGGCCGTTGTGCTGTGTGTGAGTGTTGACAAGTACCATTTTGGTGACTTTTTTGATGCAGACACTTTCTACAATTCAAACCTGCTGAGAACAGCCTTTCCCATACAGCCTACCAAGGAGTCCCTGGAGGGTTACATCTCTTCAATCACTGCTGATATGGGACAAAGTAGACTGGGTTATTTCCCCCCCCGCTGTCACGAAATGGTGGCACGAATAGGCAGTATGGAACGCCCCAAGTATAGTACACTCTCTTAGAAGAGATTTCCTGGTACATCATCAAGCCTCTCAAGTCACTATTTTGATTTTTTTTTTTCTAGTGAAGGTGGCATTCAGGATGCATAGACCCTTCAGGGGCAGAGAAATTTGTCTTGCCCTCCTCTCAGACCCCTCCCAGTCTTCTCTTTCACCTGAATTGCTCCTCAAACTCTTTCCTTTGCTCTGTGGAAGGTTGTGGGCCACAGATATGTTCGTTTCATTTCAGAAGGAACCACTCTCAGGCACTGAGCTTGATTGAACTTTTTATGCCTCACTTAGCCAGACAGAGAGCCTTTTCTACCAGGGCACTCCTTACCAGACAGGGAGGAAGACCTTCCTCCCTAGATCTGCCTTTCTGTTGACAGCAACCCTGAGGCAGTGTCATCTGTTTTAGTCCTTTATATACCTTCTTTAAGGAGCACTTTGTGCATGAAACCTTCCCCCTGGTTTTTCTTGTGTCTAGAATAATTAACAGCACAACCTTCTTATTCCTCATGCCATAGCTGTTGTGAGGCATGCACACAGATTTATTATGTACCCTCTGTTGATCAGGGACATGTTTAATAGGGATAAGGCCTGCCTCAGCCTTTCTTGTGCTTCCCAGGCTCCAACTGGAGTGGGATCACGTGTATAGAACACACACAGATAAGCTTCTGTGTGGCCCTATTCATTATTGGGCATGTTCAGTTGTGTACCGAATGACCTCAGTTCAGTCAAGAGGATTTAGACACATCTGTCATTAACTGTAATTGGAGGTATGGCTGGGATTTTCAAAGGAGTCCAGAGGAGTTAAGAACCAAGCTTCCAGGGAGCTTAAATGGGATTTGAGCAACTGGCTCCCTTAAGTGCCTTTGAAAATGCCAGACTGTGCATCTCAGTTTCTTCACTGGCTTTGAAAAGTTCAATCTTTGCCTACAGAGTGGGGAAGCCCGTATTGTATTAAATGCTTCCAGCTTGTTCAATAGTGGATGAGACTGTTACTTGAGAGGATGATAAACTTTTCACTGCTGCTGCTTCTCAGTCTGTTACCGTAAAATATGTTGCCCTTCCTTTAAGCCTTGGGCCTGAGATGGTTTATATAGCCCAGACTAAATGGTGTCAAGTGTAGATGTCCCCCATGTACACACTGAGTGGGAAAGTGAGTCAACTGTTGTGTCTGACTTCTTTTAGCAACAATAGGCATTAATCAAGTGAAATAGAGGCCCATAGGCCACATGTAGCTTGTGAAGTCATAAAAAGCAACTTTATCCACTTTCATTTCCCACTCCATTTAGAACCTAGCTGTCCCACTTGATGTTTCATTGCCGTGGAAGTCAAACAAGTGATGTTACTGATGGAAGTAATGTATATTTCTTCATGAGGTTATCTTTTTAAAGAATCACATCTGCCTCTTTAGTGAGGTTCTGGTGCAGCCCTCCTCATGTCTCTTTATGTTGTATCTACAGGTATGCCAGATTCAGTGCTGTACTGCTCAGTTCAAGACCCTGCCACCTCCTGTCCATCTGGCTACAATACCAACAAGGTATGATCCCAAAGCTCCAAATACAAAGGTCCAAATTAAGTCCCTCAAAACCCAGACGTCTCCCGGTGCTAGAGAATCATTGTCTCCCATTTACCAGCCAGTGTTCCCTGTTTAAACAACAGAATGCCATCATGGTGCATCGAGCAGTACTATTCAACCCTGTTAGACTCAAGGCACCCCTCAGAAAATGCCGGATTTTAGTTTTCACTTGTTTCTTGACTACAGAAAAATAATAGAACAATTCTTCTGTTCCTAAGCACTCAGAATCCACAACAGGTCATAATATTTTTGACACTACAGGTTCCTGTTCGATATCACTGGCTTTATCTTGGGAATCATGTGGAAATGTTTGCATACCTAACAGTGCTAATATTACACAGCACCCCTAAAAGCAATCTGTTTGAGAATCACTGGCACAGCAGAACATAAAGCACAGGGCTACAGTATTCATCTATATATCAGGCTTAAAATAGGGGAGTGTGGTCAGATAAAGGGCTGCAACTGATCTGTCCATTCCAAAATCATGTCTGACTACATAGAGCTAAACTGGGTACAGATTAAATTAATTTGACTTATAAACTGCGCAGATTTCCTCAGGAGCCACTGAGTGGCAATAAACTTAGAACCCCTGGAGTCCAAGTAGCTGTCACTTCTTAGATAACCAAATATGCAGGAGGATGGCATGCAAAAGCTGCAAGGGGCTGGAGTGATCACTGGGGATCTGGGTTTTCTGTTTCCCATGGAAAAATGGAGTAAAATGTGGATTTTCCCCCTTACTGGAGTAAAACACGGATTTCTCATTTTAGCAGAGAAACCTGTGGATTTTACAGTTTTACAGTGAGCTCTCTGCAGGCTGGCAGAGTTTCAGCTTGCATGGCACGGGGAGGGAGCAGGAGGAGGGCAGTCAGGCGGGGGCACTGTGTGTGTATATGCATATGCCCCCAGGCAGCCTTGAGAGCAGCCCCCATAGGTAAGTGACGGGAGGGATTGAGGCCCCCAGAGGGAGGGAGGGAGGAAGTTGGGCAGGGTTGGGGCTGGGGCTGCTGCCCGGCCGGGCAGTGTGTGGGGCTCCAATGCATGGCATCAGGGCCCTGGCAGAAGGCGGGATGGGGCTGCAGGCAGCTTGTTTGGGGGTGGGGCTGGCTCCCTGCTGCTCTCCCTGGGGGTCTTCTGCATGCATGGGGGCAGTGTGGGTGGCAGCACAGGGTTGTGACTCTTGCTGCTGTGGCACATGTGGGAAACACATTGCCAGGGCAGCACAGAGATCAAGCTGCCTTTCCTGAGACCTTTCCTGTGCAGCTACTCTCTGCCCTGCAGCACCGAGTCGCCACCATGGGCTATGAAGGCCCCGGTGGAGTGCAGCGGGGTGGGAGCCTTCAGTGCGCACTTACCCCGTGCCCACCCTGCACACAGATCTGGGGGGTGTGGGTCCCCCTGTCCCTTCTGCGAGTGCACTGAGGCAGGGAACCACACCCCCCTCCCCCCGGCCCGTAGCAGGGAGGCAGCAGTAGGAGAGCCAGCTCCATGCTCTGCTCCACTGCAGCAGCCGCTGCCTTCTGTCAGGAGCAGGGGGCTGCGGATCCGGGTCCCTGGCCCCATAGTCTGGGCAGCTGGGGTCCCCTCTGGCAGGGGTGGGGGGTGATGGGCTGTGGATGGGGGGCAAGGGGCACCAGCAGGGCCGGGGGGCTGTGGTGTGGGGGAAGTGAAGGGCACC